TATCCTAAACCAAGTTATCCATGTAAACCAAGTGAAAAAATATGTGGATTGACTGTCAGGTAACGTGTAACACAAATTCATATAAATATGATTATTCATCACTGAACATTAAATATCCGCATATGCAAGATAGATGTTAAAAATTGAGCTATTTTAATTTCTTAAATTTCTTTAATATCCTAAACCAAGTTATCCATGTAAACCAAGTGAAAAAATATGTGGATTGACTGTCAGGTAACGTGTAACACAAATTCATATAAATATGATTATTCATCACTGAACATTAAATATCCGCATATGCAAGATAGATGTTAAAAATTGAGCTATTTTAATTTCTTAAATTTCTTTAATATCCTAAACCAAGTTATCCATGTAAACCAAGTGAAAAAATATGTGGATTGACTGTCAGGTAACGTGTAACACAAATTCATATAAATATGATTATTCATCACTGAACATTAAATATCCGCATATGCAAGATAGATGTTAAAAATTGAGCTATTTTAATTTCTTAAATTTCTTTAATATCCTAAACCAAGTTATCCATGTAAACCAAGTGAAAAAATATGTGGATTGACTGTCAGGTAACGTGTAACACAAATTCATATAAATATGATTATTCATCACTGAACATTAAATATCCGCATATGCAAGATAGATGTTAAAAATTGAGCTATTTAAATTTTTTTCAGGCGTAATGATGCTATCTCGAATGTGCGTGAGGCGGCTGCAATTGCTCTGGAACAGATAGGTGGTGATGAGGCTCAGAAAGCCATGCACATTACTAAAGTGCTAAGTGAAGAGATTAAAGCTTTGTCAAATAAGCATTGAGAAGTAAGTGTTGATTTACAAGAAAAAAAAAAGAACTGTGAAGATATCACGTTATTAGAAAAATATTTTATATTTACTGTATTATTTGTGCACATTTGCAGCTGAAAGATACCTGCAACAATTTTATTATAGAGATTTACTGTTAATTTTATTATAGAGATTTACTGTTAATTTTATTATAGAGATTTACTGTATATAGTGTATTTTAGCCACCAAACGTCCCGCATTTCAAAGTGATTCTGGATGGAACACGCATTTTGCAGAAAAACATACATGCTCATAAATTTGTCACGCACAAGTCTATGCATGATAACAAAATATCACGAAATCAGTTGAAAATGTATTTGAAATTTGAAAAAATGTGTTTTATTAACGATATAAAACTTGAGTCATTAGAGAGCTTTCGTTACCTCATTCGAAAATCAATTCACCGACTAAGTTTCTCATTCTCGACCAAAACAACCCAGTCAACCATGCACGTGGCCCTTGCATGTTCATTGCCACAACCGACTGTTAAATATGTGACTGGAGCTTGGAACCCAGCAAACTGGTGTAGTCAGGCATTTCAAATCTCTCAGGTTGGTATCTATGCAGTAGACCTGGGGCACATGAGAAAAACTAGCCTTTAGGCTTTGGGCTGCCCAAAACACAAGGCGAGATCAAGTCATTCTGTTAAATAATATTTGTATCAAATCAAAACAGTCATCAAGTGATCTTTTAAAGAAGTAATATTCTTGTGAAATCATTTCCAATACATCTTACTTATCTTTTTCAAGCACTGAAAAGTGGTTAAGAGCACCAGGGCATGGATTTGCCCAACATACTGTAGTTGGAGAGAAGCTAGTGGAGTCATTCCGTTAAATCATTTTTGACCAATTTAAAACAGTCAACAAATGATATATTAAAGAAGTAATATTCTAGTGAAATCATTCGCAATACATCATATTTATTTTTTTTATAAACTATTAGATGATGGATTTACTTGAGATTTCAAAACCTTGTGTGCTTCCTTCATCTCAATAATTTGTATTGTGCAGTGAATTGAATTAATAATTTAATTTTGTGTTGTCTATAAACCTTGTACAAATCAGTGTATTTATTTATATTGTGTAGTTTGTCATTTTGTATATAAATTATTTATTGTGCAGTTCTATATTCCCAAAATCTTTGCAAACATATACCTATATCCAGGGAGTTGTTTTTGCGTCGATACTCGGGATTCAAGACAGTTAAAGTTTTGTAAAAGGATACCATGATGAATTTATACATTAATTTTGTAGATCTTTGTATTTAAGTGCATTCTCTTAAATTTTTATTAACCAGGTTTAAATATAGCACATTTTTCATAGTCAAGTCATACTCAAAGGTGTTTGTATATATGAGGCATGTCATGGCAAAATGGTTAAGTTGTCGCACAGGCCAGTATTGAGTAAATGAGCTATAAAATATGAGAGCACAAAAAATTACCTAAAAATCAAATTTTGTTTTTTAATATAGATCAACAGTTTATTGTCTTATTAATCATGTACCAAAGTGTTAGTTCTGGAAGTGGTCAACAAATTGTTTATTTAATGTTATTTTGATAGTTCATTCTATTAACAACGTATGCGCAAATAACTTTGAAAGGCAATTACTCAAAATCATGTTTATCTTGATTCTAAGAGTACTGTACTTTCACTTTCCAATAACTTAGGCTTGAAATGTCCAATTTCAATGAATGACCACTCATTTTAAAGATCACATAATCAGGTATCTCAAAATACCAATAACTTGAATTTCAATTTTTGCCACAACTTAGCCATTTTGCCACAACATGCCTCATATGTGTTCATAGAATCTCAATAATCCATGGTTTACAAAATCTGATCATGTCTTAGGTGTATACATAGACTTATTAAAAACGTAACAGAAAATCAAAATAACATTTCCACAAATTTCTATTTCTGGCAACCTCAGGTAAATAATCTAAATCATTAGAGTTACACATTTGTAAATTTCTAGACGTTAAATCTAACATCATGATCATTTTTACTTGTTGAAAATTTCACAAAAACAAAGTATTAGATTAAAAGATGAAATTCTGAGATTTAATTTGCCCTACAGTATGCCATGGAAATTCTGACCAAATTCATAAAATATGTTAACTACACCTATACCTTAGTTCTCAGCAAGAGCATAAACAAATATATTTTAAATCAGTTTTTCTGTAATACATGTATAAAATGTGGCAGGCATAATAAAAATAAAGAAAACTTTTATTTTTCTCAAATTTCCATTTTTTTTCCATGATGGCGAGTGCACTAATTCACTAAACAAGCTATAAAAAAAGTCTTGTCTTATTACCCAAAATACAAGAAAGAATCAGAAATTGTATAATAATAAACTGAGATATACTGGGGGTTTTTTTTGTAAGTTTTTGAAAACTTTAAACTATAGTAATGTTTGGATAAGTTATTAGTGCTATTTTAATATAGTTATTATATACAACTGAATATGATGACAGAAAATACATGACTAAAATTTTGTACAATGTCATTTTCAGTCATACTATCAACTTCTATATTATATTCACACACTTAATAAATATATGTATACGATTGTTCAAGAAAACTGTAAAAATTGTAATGGTTATGTAATAAACTACATAACAAGCACCAAATAAATAGTTGGTACAGTTACAAAACATTGAATTTTTCTTCTTGTCTTAAAATTCAAACGTTCTCCATATCGTAAGTGTAGTCTGTGTGTCAGTGTGATAACTTTTGCGACCCTTATTAATCCTGCAAATTATCTTAAAACATCCTCAGCAATATCCCTTCTGTGATTGGGCTACACACCTGACCTACCAAAAGTGGCAAGTTTTAGGTCCAGCCATCAGTAGTTTTATTTTATATGTCAATGTATATTAATCTACATTCTGAATTTGATGACCATTATTGTTGTAAAATGCTAACAAATTGAAATTACTTGCATGTTACCCTTTAACCTTGCACAAATTACAAAGTTGATACCTTAGTTAAAATAACATTAATTTATACGGTACAGTAATTACAAAATGTTGATACATCAAACCCCGCAATGGGTTGTAGGTTATAATTAACTTCTATAATTTCACCTCAACTTAAGTAGATATACCTTATATACAATCTTTATAAACCACAACTAAAAACTATAAAAAATCTTTAATCTAAAAAAAATATATCTTTACATTCTTAAAACAATTTCAAAAAATGTTGAGGTATGGTGAAATACATCAAAACATGAAATACTAACATTACAAATGTGTTAGCTTACTTAATGTACCTTTCACTGGCTCTTCCGATTGCCGTGTTGCCTCTGAGCTATTAAACTTTCCAGCAGAAGACTTGCGTTGATCACGACCAGCATTCTGCAGTCCACGATTCAGACAACGCTTTACTTCTTTGCGCACATGCTTGTTGCATGTGAACGCCATAAAGATGAACACACCCTGCAGCGAGTTCAAAATAATAAATATGTACCGGAAGATTTCTAGTTCGGTGAAAGCGGAGATGAAACCAAAAATCCATGTGAAACCCATTAATGTTGACATCTAAAAAGATAAATATTAGAGATATTTTAAGTTATAATTTAGGGACAATATTTTAATCCCATATGTAACAATTTTAAGAGTTTTTAAGTCTAACATACGTATTATTAAATCTGACCTACATTTGGATCAATAAATCCTTATTGATTTGATAATAATGAAATATAATAATATACAAATATGTATATGCACAAATTATTATCAGTCTGCACTCAAAGCAAAAAATGTAATTACCTTAACATAGACGAGAAGATCTGTTTTGAAGCGTTTCAACCGTGAATTATTGACATCGCCGACCTTGTTGACCTTGGTTAGTCTTAGACCAATCACAGCACAGATAAATAGAAGTATATTGAAGAATAAAATGATCATAAGAGGAAGACCAAATGCAAGCAATGTTGATTTCTCGTCGTAAATCCAACACGCAAATTCACTGCCGTATCGGAAACGAAGGTTATGAAATCTGCCAAAGTGGATTACCAGACACAGGATGATTATGGGTAAAGGTGCACCCCACCCATAAAACATATATGCCTGTAATATTTTCCGCTTACTGTGCCGTTTACGGAGTTTAACCTTTGACCCAAATGTAAAAAAGAAGTCCATGGCCATAGCATTCATCCAGAAGAATGCAGCCAGCCAAACGTAGTGCATGATGGCTGCAATAGTAGTACAAAGGGGTGGGTAGGTAACGCCCTGACCCTGAAGTAAAACCCCAAGCTGACCAATAAATAGCGCACCAATAAGATTCATTAAAATTTTCCCAAGTAGTGTGCGCAAAGATCGAAACAGGCATCGCACAGTGAAAGTGATGGTGAGTGCCACTAATGACAAAAGGATCCCGATGCAACTGATAGTCACTTGCATGTGATCGGAATATTTCGGAAAGAACGATGGTGGCATATATTTCACATTGTTGTCGCGCTTCAGCGAACTACAAACATCAGGACGCCCTCTTGGATGCAGCATCGACTGATTAGCAGAGGTATCACCATTTTCATTATCAGTCGATGTAGAGCGAGTGGCATTAAGTGATATGGTAGAATTAAGTATCAATGGAGGGCAGTGTTCTAGGTTTTCTTCGTTACTACAAACATAAAGTGACGTTTCCTGGCAAGAATTCCCAGACTCGCTGAATCGGTGCACTTTCTCAAACTGGACCTGTGATGGGACATAGAGTATGTTGTTAGCAGAAATGTAAATGAAGCTGGAATATCCAGATTCAATGAAGTATGTCTCCGAATAATTATGCTTGGAGACATCGCAGTTCATTTCCAAACCTGTCTCATCAACATACTCTGAGAAACTCGCTCTTATAACTGTCAGACTGAAATAAACTTGCGTCTTGGAATTGTTTCTTATATGATCGACAATCGTTTCAAAGTTAGTGTGAACGACATGGAGTTGTGTGCACATTTCACTTACAAACGCCGAGAACTTCTTGACCTCCCATGGGTGGGTCAGGTCATGTGGTTTGCCCTCGATTTCTTTCACTACCATGACATTAATTTCTGTCTTGAAATGAAGCTCCATTAGCTTCCTCAGCCAAAGTTCCTCATTATTGTTAGTTACATTGTGCTTAACAATGAACTCTAACGTCACATTTACCCTCACAGATGGTTTGCAAATATCGGCAAGATTTGGCATCAAGTCTATTTCGTTGCAGTTACCATCTGTAGTCACTCCTTTGGAGAGTGCACTGACTTTACCAATGGCCTTGTCTGGTTGGCTTTTTGTCTTATCTGCAGGCTCGGGGGCATGTTGTCTTTCAGGTATGGAAGGGATCATGATGGCAATTGAAGTGAATTTACTCTTCGGAACTGAAAGATAAAATAACAACAAAATCAGGTTTTAATATTGCAAGCTATGATTCAAAGGACAAAGAAGCAGGCTTTTGTTGACAACGTTAAGAAATAATAGCAGATATCAAGAAATAAAGTGAAATTAAAATTGTTTGTAGAAGAGTTGAGGAGATGGGTATCTTGGACATATACCATTATGGAGGATTAGTACCCAGAATTAGTTATCAAGAACTACTAGCGTTAGAGTGTACCTTGCCAACTCGATATATTTGTTACAGTACTTGAAATGGGTTGCCTCTTCGTTCAATCAAAAGGTAACTGTATTTAATTACTTTTTTTTTTTTATTGTAACTAGTTTTTTTTAACCTACCAGCTTTATTACTAATTTCTAAGTAAATCCACCAAAACAGTCCTCTGTCTTCGGGTTTATTTTTTTCATTTGGTTTCTTAGCAATACAAATGCAGTATTGTGTTTCGTCAAATAACAGTGTATTCATCTTGTTGAATAAATCAGTACACAACAACATATCAATCAAAAACATATTGAAAACTTACTACACAATTGTCTCCTAATATCATACTCATAGTTATAAGGACAAACACACTTGAAAGATCCATCAGTGTTCAGGCAAATACCAGGGTAACACAGCATCACATTCACACTACACTCATTGAAGTCTGTAATTAAAAAAATAGTAAAACAAGTGTTTTAGTTTATAATGCAAGGTAACTATATTATGACTGAGGCACGCAATACCAAAAAATCAATATATCTGTCATATTAAACTAATTTGAATTTCAGTTCGGATTTGAAATACTAAATCATAATCACATACTAATCACATCAATATGATGGTGATTAAGATGTTGAAAAATGGTGGAGATTTTTTATATTCTTAATGATGCTGATATTGAAAACAAAATGGATGGCAGACACAATACAGTCTCCTTACCATCACACATAACTTGATCCATGTTGTAGTAAAATCCAATCGGGCAACGACATTCAAAACTGCCCTCTAGGTTGACGCAGTAACCTGGATTACACTGATCACCGATGGAGGCGCACTCATTGAGGTCTGAAAAAAATTATATAATTGTAATAATGGCTGCAGAAATAATCTATTTTAAAAAATAATATTGAATAATCAACTCAATCAAAATTAATATACAATCATTTATAGAATTTATTCGTATCACTGATAAATTATTGCCTAATCAACCAATCAATTTATTTAATCTTATTAATTAATTCAATCAACTCTCATTTATCAACAATTGTTCAATTTGTCAATTCAATAATTTTAAGTTCACCATATTGATCATTAATAGCTCAATCATTAATTAAATAAATAATCAAATTATTGATTGACCAATCTATCAATCATCAATGAATCATGTCTTACCTCTACAATGTTCTGCTTGGAAATCATCATTAATAGCTCAATCACTCCATTATTATTCAAATAAACAATCAATCAAACTATTGATTGACCAATCTATCAATCATCAATGAATCATGAATTACCTCTACAATGTTCTGCTTGGAAATCATCATTAATAGCTCAATCACTCCATTATTATTCAAATAAACAATCAATCAAACTATTGATTGACCAATCTATCAATCATCAACTAACCAAATAATCATCACCTACCTCTACAATGTTCTTCTCCTTGGAAATGAGCAAAGCCATCGGGACAGAAGCAGTAGTAGCTACCCAGTGTGTTGAAACATGCACCAGGCTCACACAGCCCTTGCTGTAGCATACACTCATCAACATCTAAATGTTAAAGCAATAATAACAAAAACAAAATAATGATGATGATGATAATGCCTATAATCATACTTAATATAATACACATTTACAGTAACTGTTTTATATTACTGTGTTTGTCAAAATCTGATTTAGAGAACTAGCTATTCACACCGATCTAGGACAGGAAAAGGAAACTGTACCTCAAAGTGTTTTTTATGCCATAATGAAATGTCTTAGGTGACTGAAAGTTTTATTGTAATACCAGGTATTTTAATGTTTTATTACAGCATCTTTTATTTTAATGTGGATCATCTGGAACAACAGTAATATTTTACTGAGGAGGCAACCCAGGATAAAGAACCAGTAAATACAGTAAAATAAATTAAGTAAATAAAAATATATTGTTTCTTTGAAAATTATTTTAACATTCCAAGCATTGAGCTGTAGTGGTTCTGTGGCATAAGTCATGGTAGATGAAGGGAAAATTTTTTTAAATACAGTACTGTACTGCATACTCACTCAAATTTTAATGGTCTGTGAACATATGCAAAGTTTCATTGTGATCCACCTTTCAGTTTCAGAGTCCTTAGTGCACAAACCTTTCAGTTATGAACATTAGAGTATGATATAGTTTACTTATCTCTTCTATATCTTCCAAAGCACTTTTGAGTTACCAACGCTTAGGCCGACACTTTTGAAATATGGTCCAATGGATGTTAAACTCTGTTCGCACAATTAAATTTTATGAGACAAATATGACTATGATGTGCCCATATATGGACATGGCTTATGACACATTACACCCAAATATGGTATCACATTTTTTTTGTCGCATAAACTTTTATAGTGAGAATAGAGCTTTATGTTATCAGGAGTAAGAATATCTATGGGATATTTTACCTTGGCATACAAGGCCTTTGCGGGATTTGGCTTGTTTGTAGCCAATCGGACAAAAACACACTTCAGTATTGCCATTCAATACTTCACAGTGACCAGGTGAACAATTATCCCTTCTACACAGATCTAAAAATTAAACATAAATATCATGATAATATGTATATGACATCTTACAGTAAAGTAAAAGATTTAAAATATTATTCTTTCTTCTAAAATAAACTTTCAATTCAATGTACTACTTTCCTAAGTGGTTTAGTTAAAAATTACAAAAAAATACAATCAGTAAAAGTATCTTAATTATTAATGTTAACAAGATTTTCAAGTGAAATTTTCAATGTAGCATTAAAGAAAAGTAATTACAAATTATTGTGTTTAAAAAAAAATCCATGTCAGCATCATTTTAACTCAAAAGACGATTTAAGAAGTGTTATAACACAGAGATGCTAGCTTTGTCAAGAATGGTTTGGATACAGAGCTTTGTCTACCTGATGGATCGTAATCAATGGATATCAATGGTACATTACACATAGACTTGTATGATTCTGAAAACAAGAAAATACTGTATCATATACTTTTCTTTTGTGATTTTATTCCATTTATCTAAATGTCCTTAAAAGTGTAAAAAAGTAAACATTATTTATTTAATATTTTATTGTTTTACGCATTCATTCATTTTATAATTCATTTATTTTAGGTACTTTTTTAGTTACTTTTTGTCATAACTGTCTTTGTTTGTCAAAATACTATAAAGTGTTGTTTATATGACCTAGAATTGAACATACCTGTTCCAATAGGTGGACAGGGAAAGCATGAGCCGCCCCATGCCTTACCATAAGCCATACAACAACACTGCTGCCACGTTATTTCAAAATGTAAGATACCTTCGCAATGACCACCTTTACTATCATTGTATGATGCATAGCATCTCTCATACAAAGGCACTTCAATAGGAACTAAAAAGCAACAGAATGGTAGTATTTTATAGCAATATCTTCATTAAGATGATGTTTTAAAGGAGCAGCTAACTCTTAATTATATGAATGTAGCCTTTGCTTAAGCTGTCTCAGATCTCTTGTCTTGTAAACTTCTGTCAAATAATTTCTGTATGGCTAGTTAAATAAATTATATTATGGAAACTGTAGGAGGAAACATACATACATACAAGCAATAGCCTTCCAATCTAACAGACTTCCTTATTTCTGCGAACTAGTCAAATGTTACATCTTTCTAGTTCATAATATCTCTGGTAAGGTTCAAGGGTAGAGATTCTATGGTTTAAGTATGGCCCATAATTATACTTTTAGACCACAATATTATAACTTTGTTTAAATCGCTAACATTTTTAGTCCAATGGCCTCATTGTGGTGTTGGGCACTTGGTGTCAATGCTTGGTGGGGACGGGGTCTGAAATTGCTCCCCAGATTTCCCACTGAGGCTGCCACTGTTCGCAATAAGTTTTTATAGTAACTTCGGTTAAAATGAAATTTCTGTTAAAATTACCCTGTTCAACTGCTTCTCTGTAATCTTCATCACACAATAAAGCAAAATCATCTGGAAAATTTAATGTGTGAAAATGTGATTACCAGTAATGTATCTAGGGTAGGGCGTGGGGGCGCATGCCCCCTAAAAATTACTCCCCCCCCCAGTTACCCCCCAAATATGGTCAAGTAGTTAA